AGGGGCGTCATTTCAGTTTTTTCAAGGGGGGGGGGGGCAAAAAACCAAGACTTGGTCGGGTTGTTAAGTTGCTTATTACTGGATACTAAATTATACAGTAGTAAAAAAAAAACAAAAAAAAACTATTACATCATACGGGTATCTATTTCGGAGCAGCTGGTTCCCGACCAGTGATTAAACCCCAATATATGGATAGCTCAATCTGATAGAAATATAAAAACATTGACAACAAGAAGTTCAGTCTTCTGCGCTGTCAAAATGTACTTATACTATACGGTATAACAAAAAGTAATGGATTTCAAAAAATCAATATAATCATTTTTCTCAAGTTTGCTGATAAATCATTGTTCTTTGATAGCCTGACCCTGACTCCCAGGGGAGGGAATTTCGTTTTATAAATTCAGAAAATCAATATTTGAGTTCTCTATCAGTTTATCAAGAAACACAAAAAAATCGTTATTCTAGACTTGGTTCGTGTGCCATGGTCGAAATGCTCATAAGAAACGGTTTAGAAATTAAATAAAAAATAAGTACAAAAAAAAAGAGCATTAAAAAAATATATATAGACTATATAAAGCCTTTTCATGTTATGTAACCATTATTTAAGGATCGGAAAAGAGTGAATATGATTAGAGTTATGTAATGGGCTTAACTTTTTACGTTGAGCAGTACCAACGGAGCATAATGTGTCACAGGTAGATGCATGCATCACTTTGAGTGTGCGTGGGAGGAGGGTATGAGTAGTTGTGAATGAGTGCCGTTTAAATTTAATGTTGTATAGCAATGCTATTAGCATAGTTCTAATTATTTATGTATTTAGATTATTCAACAAGCAGTTTGAGTTGTGGAACTCAGAGCTTGTGACGCCCGTTGTCACCCTTGAGGCTCACAATTCTTGTTCATGTAAAACAATTCTGAATATTAATCATAAGGCAAAAAAAAAAACAATGCCACCTACACCTAAAGAAAAAAAAAATTAACGAACTTCGAGGGTTTGTAAAGATGCAACGAATTTTCTTTTCTTGCAACCCCCACCCATTTTTGTTAGAAAGAGCACAATTCACCAACTTTACAAAATTGCAAATATCAAATAATTTGAAACATATTTTTCAAAATCTAATTATTTTTGCCCATTTTTTTAAACTGCACCTTTATATTATATCATGTTACTTCGTGTGACGTATTAGTAGGCCTATAGCACACCGTAACTGTTTTGTTAGCAATATTATTAGCACGTTTATTTATTTGAATTAGAATAAATAAATTAAAAAAATAAATAAATAAGTCTCTTAAACTTATATTAAAAATAATAAATGTAAGTAGCAACATTTAAAAACATTTCAAGTTAAT